GCGACGTCTCGTTCAAGTGGTGTCGCCTTTACGCTTGGCCGATTTCGAATGGCCGACGGCGACAACTATTCTGAAGACCTAGAATGCATCCATCGAAGGGGGAGAGCCCACCCCACCCGACGTGGCGTGGAACGACGATCTGTCGTATTACACTGATGGCGACGACCGCGTTTAGGTACCGGACACTGCTGTGGACCTACAGCAACGCTTGTGCGTGATAGCCCACCAAGGCGCTGCGGGTCACCGCCGCATTGCCGCGACGACGAAATCTGTCGGGGACAAGTTCGTGTGGAAGACGCTGTCTCAAGATGTCAGCGTGTTTATTCGCGGTTGCTTGCACTGCGTACAAGTTGATGGGGACGTTGTGCCACACCCCCTGCGATCAGCGCTACACACCGAAAAACCAAACCAGCTTATCCACTTCGATTGGTTGTCGATACCGAAGACATCGACAGGACTCTAGAACATCCTCATCATCAAGGACGACATGAGCGGGTTCGTTCATCTACAGGCCGCCGAGTCGGCCGACTCGACCTCGACGGCATCGGCGTTGACGACCTGGTTCACCCTGTACGGCTGAGTCGACACATGGGTCAGAGAGAGCTCACTTCAAGAACGAAGTGGTCGAGAAGATTCGAAAGATGGTCGGTGCGCACCACCACATCACGACAGCGTACAGCCCGTGGGCCAATGGCACCGTCGAAGTCGTCAATCGACTCGTGCTACGAGCAGTCAAGGCCCTGCTCAACAAGATGCGACTCAACGTCGAAGATTGGCACCTGGTCCTGCCCTTAGTTCAAGGCGCGCTTAATCATCAGCCAGCAAATCGGCTGGGCGGAGTTGCGCCTGTGACTGCGTTCACTGGCCTGCCAGCCAAGACGCCAATGTCCGGGTTCGTACACAACAACCAAGGAAGTTCACGCTATTGATTTCCTTGACGACGTCCGACAAGAGCAATATTGAAGCTCTCGCAGCAGCGTTGCACGATCTGCACCGTGACGTATCAACACGAAGCGACAAGTTGCGCCAGCAGGCGCGTGGGCGTCACGACAAGAAGAACAAGGTCAAGTTCACGAATTTTGCCGTCGGCGATTACTTACTAGTCGGATAAGTCGTTCAGCGCTCGAACAAGTTGGCCCTGCAGTGGCGCGGGCCGAATCAAGTTGTCCGCGTGGTGACCGACCACGTCATGGAGACGCAGCAGCTGGTGCCGCCGTTTGGAGTATCGACGCACCACTCGTGCGGGCTCAATATGTACCAAGATTCAAGTCTTGAGGTCACGGAAGACCTCATCAATCAAATCGCGCTCGGTGATGGCAGATTCCACGTGGAACGCCTCGAAAAGGTCCGACTCGCTGTTGGTGAATACCAAGTCCAAGTCAAGTGGATGGGCCTTGGTGACGAAGAAGTGTCGTGGGAGCTCGTGAGGGAACTCCTCGACGACATCCCGGTCGTCTTCACTAAGAGGTGCAAGACCCACAAGTCAGCCAAGTACGTGGCCGCGATGGTGAAGAACCTGGGCCTCCTCTAGGAGGGGAAGTGTTCTGCTGAGCAGAGCAGCATGGGTCGCCCAAGGGTTTGTCCTGCTGCAAGTCCTACAGTACAGTAGGTCTGCTGTGGTGTGCATGTACGTAGGGATCCTAGTTGAGAAAGAAATGTACCTTAGCGGATGCTAGTCAGTAGGGGCCACGTGTCGTGGCCTAAGTCTAATGTCAGTTTTGAAATTACATACTTGCAAGCCTCGCGTGAGGTCCCTTGCGTCGGAAAGCGCGGAGTGGCAAACAAATAGTACAACAGCGATGCTTGTCAAACACCGCGTCGAATGGAAATATCCATGTGGAATCTGTCCTACACCATGTGCATGACTCAGACGAGTGGACATTGCTGGGATCAATCAAGGGTTGCCACTAGAATCGGGAATGACTTGTCAGACACTCTGAACAGGCAAGCACCAAAGGATGTAAGGGGGACGAAGGCAGGCCCTGCCGGATGAAGCGGCTGCATGGAATGCCGCAGTTCTCGTCGAGGTCATGTGCATTGGCTGAACTACAAACAGCTCGGCCTTGTCGACACTTACTCAATGGACAATACTTGGCGTGCAGAACCACATGAAATGGACATCCAAGACGTAAGCAGCTCGTCCAGGCCTGAACTACGACGTCGCCACCACACTGGGCCAACTCCACAGTACAAAGCCGATCTACACCCTTTCACTTATCCGTCGAATCTTCGATGCGGCATTGCCCCTGCCACAAAACGGCGCGTCGGCATCTCGTAGACAAGGCAGCTGTCTATATCATCTCCGCCAAAACTCGCGGCGACGTAACACGATATAATTCTTAAACTCTTACGGCGACTCAGCGTGCAACAAGTAGTTCACCAGCGCTTGCTGATTGTTCTCCTTGGCGCAATCCAGCGCATTCTTGCCGCTAAATTTCGCGACGTGCTGAACGTTGGCACCAAACGCCACCAGCAGCTTGCCCACCTCGATGTGGCCGTAGTACGCGGCCCACATCAAAGGATTCCAGTCATCGTCAGCACCATTCACAGCCACACCTTCTTCCAAGCACACGCGGACATCGTCGATCTTGCCATGCTTGCACCCGTGGATGAGCACGTCTGCGTTGATCGCGACCATGGTGTCCTTGTGCGGCGGGGGCGCAGGCTTGCCCTTGAGCGGCAGCGTCTTCATGTACTCGATGAACGCCGTCTGGTTGTTCTCCTTGGCCACGTCCATCGCGTCCTTGCCGTCGTGGTAGAACAC